TATCTATCTATCTATCTGATCAAAGTACATTTAATACATTTTAGAGTTAAAATGCTTTCCATCATAATCTCACTAATAAATGCCATATTTAATGGTTCCAGTGGGATGATAACGATAGCGACTTTTGGTTGAGCTGAGTTTGGTTTCTCATCGTAAATCATGATTACCATAATTATTATGCTTATATAATTGTTATTTTTGCTCCCCATTAGACTGAGAAGTAGTTAAAACACATAGCTCCATGCTGAACCTCTCTATGTGAGACAGTGGGGTGCATCTTAATAAAGTAGATTCATCACAAATAGAAAATGATTGAAAAGTGAGTTAAATAACTAATTGTGCTATTCTGATTCCGCTGTCTTGTTCAGCAAATTCACATCAATTTCTCTTGACAAACTGAACTAGTTATGTGTTTTCAGACGTGCTGACTGTGCTCTGCGTCAACATAAAATTGCAGAAGCAGAACCATTGCAGCAGTGAGAGCTGTACTGACTTAAAGCAATAATAAACCAGTTTTCAGTGAGATCCTCACCCCCTGTAAGACCTGGAAGCTGTCTCCACAGGGCTGCAGGTCTTGATCTGGATCCACACCAACCCTGAAACAGATGAAGAAAGTAGATGAAAATATTAACACCTTGTGTTGTTATTTAACTTTAAAGTAACTAAATGACTGCAAACACTGTTGCTGGCTAAATGTGGCTCATATTTGTTTAGATACCAATCAGCAGTATTTGTCAGCATACTGATATAGATACTGAGATACTGCATGTCTGTAATTTCTTTACTTGTGACCTCTGCTCTTCTTTCTGCGGTTTGCATTTGACATTTTATAGACAGCTCCCTACGAGGATTATTTCTGTGTCAATCTTTTTGTGACTGCTGCACATGCAGAATACAGACTTGTTGTCTTTGTGGCTCTGCACCAGAAGTTGCTTTGAAAGCCCACACATCAAAGTGCTGGTTGCTAGACCTTTTAATGGCTAATAAAACACTATAAATTAGCCTTCAAATCAGCACAGACACAGGAAAACAGACAGAAGATCAAAGAAGAGAGTAGAACGTACAGTTTATATAATTCAGTGTGAAGCACATGAGGGAGAGATTTGAACCACCTAATTACTTTTTTGCTCATGACTTAAAAAACAAAACCACAACTTTAAAAACAAGCTAGGTTTTCACCGAAACGGAAGGTCACCGTAAAGTTACCCCTGACCCCGTAACACAGAGACATTTCAGCATGCAAGAAAGCTATAGTGATTTAAATAGTCACGTGTAACTGTGCCTTTTTCATTTTTCTCCTAAACATCCAGTGCGTAGCATTCAGAGGTATCTAGCGATGTAGTTGCAGCACGCAACTCTCTTGATTCACCTTCCCCTTCCAAGCGCAAAGGGTAAACTGGAGCAGCTACGAAAAAAACAAAGACCCTCTCTAGAGCTAGTGTTTGGTTTGTTCAATCTGGGCTACTGTAGAAACATGGTGGTTCAATATGGCGGACTCCATGGAAGGTGACCCGTGGAATCTATAGATATGAACGGCTCATTGTATAGGTATCATAGGTAACAAAAACACAACAATTTCTGTATTCAGGTGCTTATACACTAATGAAAACATACCTATGAATATTATATTTAATTTCTGCCAATAGATCCTCCTAAAAGTTACACACTGCACCTTAAACCAAACCAGATTTGACTAATAAACTACAGACTAAAATCATTAATACTGACCCACTTTGGGTTCCCCCCACAGTTTTCAGTTTTTTGTGTTAAACTAACCAGCTGCTGACCAAGAACAGAAATAAGATTTGGATCAAAATCTCAAAATGCAAAACAATTCCTTTAAAAAGTGGAGTACTGGAGCACATACATTCAGTCTTCACAGCTGGCCAAAAATTCCCTGTGGTGTCTCTTACCAACAGAGAAGGATTAAACTGAACACAAGCAGATTTTAAAGGGGCACTTTTAATTCACATAAGCTCTGGAGCAGTTGAGTCTAATCCTTATGGACAGAGGCCATGGCGGAGATGTGTAGCCATTCATGGTTACATCTGAAACTACAACTGACACTGTACAGTAAGGAGTCAAACTAACGTGCGTGGTTATCTTTAGAATTTTCCATAGCAGCCATACAGAGGAAATATCCATTCTGACTGAATGAGTAACAGCATTTTTCATTCTTCTTTCCACCTAAACAGCTAGATATAGCAGCCCACAGGTATCTGACTGCCTTTTAGGACTTTCTCCTCTCTCAATTATACACACACACATTCAGAGGATCTTCAGGAGGTGGAGGTTGCGCAGAGGTCAATAAACTTGCAAAACAAAGAGGTGCAAAGCACTGCTTCAGGAAGGATCTGCGAGGAATGGATCTGAGATTAGGACACAACTGCTGGGGGCCCCAGAAGAAAGAGGCCCAGGCCAGCACACGTTTCCTCTGATAAGAAACAGTATAGACCCCTCACACGTGTTCATATGCACACACATACATTACGTAAGCGGGTGTTCCACTGACTTCAGTTCACCCACTAACCTTTAATCCTAATCCTGAAAACATTCCCTCACCTCCTTAAATCCATCAAATATTCCTCACAAGCCATTTCATTTGCAGCGTCTCTGTCCTCTAGGGAAGACATGCAATCCTAAATAGAGTAAATGTGGAGGAACTGCTGTGACACAACTCTTGGTTGCTTTTTTTTTTCCTCTTTTGCACATACTTTTTAGATCAGTTCACACGTATGTGTCGGGCTGCTTCTGTGTGACCACAGTGCGTGGTTTGTTATTTACACCGCTGTGTGAAAAGTTATAGACAGTCCACAGAGACTGAACAAAGAGGCAGGCTCGGGTTTTCACATCCCCCGAGACAGCCTTAAATAAACCAGTCGATCATGCTACAGTAACTACTCAAGCAGCAACACCTCCACCAGAGCTGGGCAGGTGTGTGACACAGTGATTTCTCTCCTCTGTGGTTTTCAAAACCTTTTTCTCAAAATATTTCATATGTTCTTAAGAGTCTCAACTTTTCCTGTGGCCCCATGTTCCGCTTTACCCGAAAAAACAGAAGTGAACAGTGAAAAGAAAGAGTCCCATCTGAAGCAACCACACACTTTCCCAACACCAGCTACTGTCAGAAAGTTTGTTCACATTCAGATACAGCACCTGAAATATGCCCACTGTCCATGTTGATGTCGCTCTTCCTGCAACGCTTTGCTGTCCCCAAAGCTGTCACACACACACTCAGTAAAGTTAGTCTTAGGTGGTATATTTAGATATTCTTTTTTAGTATGTGTAAAAATAGCCATGTCGTGTGTTAGATACTCATATGAGGTCACACAACAGTCACAGCGCAAAACAAATCTCTGAACTCTAACATTTAATCCTAACATTAGATAAAAAATAGGGATTACATGCTATTTCTCAAGAATCAAAGTTGTTGTTTTTTTGTGAAATTGTCAAAGTTTATATATTTTCACACATTAGATAAAAGCATATCATCCATATATTTTTGAGGATCAAGAGACATGTCACAGTCAGTGTTACTTAAATGGAGGACTAAGGACATAAAAGAGAGTTTAAGTAGATAACAGTGACCACAGTGTTTTAAATACAGTCATTTGGCAACAGTCTCATCCAAATATGATCCTCTGTTTTGGGGACATGTACTAATCCTCGGACTTGGCACAGAGGATCAGCAGATGTTCAGGCCTAAAATAAAATAAAAACACTGGATGAAATGACTGGAACGCTTCAACTGACCACTTAACTGCTTTCAGCATTTACTGTATATGTTAATAACAGTCTCACTGCTTTCATCTCTTATTGTTTGAAGTAGAAATAGAATCTGTGATTACATTTTAGCTAACAAACACTTCGAGTCCAACTTGTTTCACTATTTCTGTAAACCACTTTGACTTCAACTATTTCAAATGTTTCAACAGCTCATTTTCAGCTGCAATCACACTTCTTGATTCTTTTTTAAAAATTCTACCATTCCAAGTTTATACAGTAAAGTTTGACCAAAATCCATCTAATCTATTGCAGCATTTGTTCCTCAAAATGCTCATTATATCAAAAAACTTACACTGAAATAAACTGATGCTTTAAAGCATTGGAGTTGACAGATTAGTAGCTCTTCTGTGCCCCAGCGTGAGCACAGAGATCTTTTTCCCTCTCGATGGCTGCACGGCCAGGGCTCGGTGATAAGCTGCACGCTTGCCTGCTTACAGACCATCCATCAAAACCCAATAACATAAACCAGCAGCGTCTTCTGTCACAGCAGACGTTTGCTATCCCAGCACCAGTCACATCCTGCTCGTCAGCCTCACTGCCTCAATAGAACTGCCTGAGGATTTAGTCATGAAAAATAGCAAATAACAAATGTAACTAAATTAAAAACTGGGTAGAAAATCCCACTCAATAATGCACATATGCAGAGGATGATACCAGGATCACGGAGCACAGCTTATATCCGCCTGCCATGCACCACATGCCCCTGTTACCATGGCGATGAGTTCATGGGGGAAATTTTGGCAGCACTGTAAACCTCCACCAAACATAATAGTTCCTGCTCGGCCCGAGGAGGCATTACTCATATTAAACAGAGCCTGTTCACTCAGGCCACCTCTGTCACACACATTACCAGCCTATAATCCGCTTTGTCATGACAAATAGAAGCTCCCAGTGCATCGTGGTCAGACAACACTGAGTGAGGCTGGGCTCCAGACGGACAGATAGCCAAAGCAAGCAAAGTGCCAAAGCCAACGCACCAATCCTACTACGTTCTAACTGTAGACTCAGCATCACCTCTGGCTCTGGAACAATCCTGATTTTATGGGTTAGCGTTCAAGTGATCAACCGCAGAGTGAAGAACCTATAGTTGAACATTGCAGGATTTCTTCGAAGATTCAACAAAAGTGCCTGTGACCTGAAAGCTCTGGATGGAAGAACATGGGAGAAAGTGAGCAGCAGTGGAGAACTCTGGCCCCATCTACTGGACAATACCACCAGGCAGCACAGGATAAATGTAATAATGTCAACTGGAGAGGAATTACGTGTCGCAGGAGCAAATAATAATGCTTAAAACTAGTACAAACGGAGCAAATATATAACTGCCCTACAAAGACAGAGAGCAGTAACCCAGAAGCTGTGAAGGGAGATAACAGGTTCAGGGTACTAACTCAGTCAAACTCAGTAACAGGTAGAAACATTGTAATGCCTTAATTTTATGTATTTTTAGGCAGTTTACGGTGTAAATACGTTTTATTTAAATGTAGCAGAGATGCTGAACATTAAAGCAGATTTTCTTCTACAGCACCTGATGTGTAGCCAGGACAGCATGGGTGTCGTCCCACCCCCAAACACCCAGACAGTAAAGAAGACAATGAGCAGCGTGGTGGTGAACATCATCTGGCGGGCGTAGGTGGCTGTGTCCCGGATGGCCAAGGCGAACGCCATTGCCCCACGCAGACCTGCAGAGGGTCACATCCAAAAACCATCCAATAACATCAGAGCTGCAACTGGCTAGTCAACTGACATAAAATCAACTATTTTGATAATCCATTAATGGTTTAAGTAATTTTTCAATTTGAATTTCGAAACATTCTCTGTTTCCAACTTCTCAACTGTGACAATTTGCTGTTTTTCTTTGTTATATATATGACAATGAATTTATATATGAAAAGATTTTAAACGGTTGGTAAAAAAAAAAGGTTCATTGATCATGAAATTAAAGATAAATAAACCCCTAAATCACATTTAGCCTGACTCGATGAGGAAAACAAATCAGTGTCTTTTCAATACCTGCAAACATCATCATATGCTGGAAGTTTCCCTTGATCTTGTGCCTTCTGCCGAGGTTGAGAAGGAAGGACAGCGGGTAAATGTTGAAAGCTCTTCCAATGAATATGGCAATCTGACAGGCAGGTCAGGAAGTCTTTGACTGAACATTTTAATGCTTTAGAGATTCATGACTAGACTAATACCTGAAAGTGAACTTTATGGTAAAGCAGCAAACTCTATCTTAGAACATTCTGATTGTCTTTGTGGATGTAGCACCAAAAAAAAACTATGATCAATTCTGCAGCTGTGGAAAAATTGCATTTTTACGAGAGGGGTAGTCCCAAATGGAAACAGAAGAACGTGTTTGTTGTGCCCAAAAAGGATACAAAAGCCCCGATGATGAAAATAGGGCTGAAAATGTGATTCTGGAAGGTGAACAGAGCCAAACCCATGTAGGAGAAGATGAAATTCTCCGCCAGGAAGTGAAGTACCTCAAAGAGCTGCATGAAAACATATACATACATAATAAGATTCATAATAAGATAATAATAATAATAATAATAAGATTCATCGTGAATTCAGTTTAGAGGTGTATGAATACACAGCAATAATACAAGAAGAAATGCACAAAAAGAGCCTTAAAATGTTCAGGTTCAGTGAGACAGTTTCACAGAAAGTTTCCCACACTGCACTGCCTGGTTCCCTCATCTACGTATTCCCTCAGAATCCACAAAAGCTTGGGAATAGTTTTTTTCTTTTCCCTCTCCCAGGCTGCCTGGCTGCCATGATGATTACAGAGCTGAGTGCATCTGTGTTGCTCTGAGAGGGAGGCACAGGACAAGGGCAAACACACACTGACATATAGACACATTAAAAAGCAAGCCAGCACATTAAGAGCAGGAAGAAGTTCTGTTTTAATTGAAGTGAAGTACTTGAACCTTTGCAATAAGCAAGTCTAGCTTTCTTTCAAACTGAATAACAAGAGCCTGAGAGACACTGATACTGATCCAAAATGTCACACTGTGTGCTGTCTACGTGCTAATCTGCACCCTGTCCTCAAGACTGAACCCCCTCTGCGAAACTAAACAGTCATGTCAGGAGGGATGTCCTCAGACAACCCCGATTAAGGTCACAGCAGGCTGATCACTGAGCCATCTGGCAGCGAGGCCGAGCACCCTGTTCATACTATTGGGGGGTTCAAACAGCAATTCAAAATAAATGGGGCTGCGTGTGCAGGCAGTGGTTGGATGCTACCTGCTTGGTGCGTTTTGTGGACTCTTCAGAGAGGTTGTTGTAGGTGTAGTGAGCCTGCGTGATGCCACAGAACAGCACGGCCACGACGCCTGTAGGACAACATCAAACATACATTTATTAGCCTTAATACAGTGACTCAAAGAGACAGAGTGGGATGTAAAACAGTTCACCTTTTAGAAACATGAGAATCAAACATTAGCTTGTCAGTCCTCTTATAGCTTTGCCACTGTATTATCTGTGCACTTCATCTGCTACATAATCTGTATTTAAGTCCCTGTCACATTTCATTTGTATAACAGACAGATTCAGTTCTCTAAGGATGGTTTACCACTGCTTAGTTTAAACAGCTCATAATTACACTATTCAGCATAATCAACAATGTGAATGAGCTTGGAATTAAAAGGCTCAATCTACATAAACTGCACTTGTGAATGATCATGAAATTAATTATAAGTTCTCTGGAAAAACCTTTAAAAATATATTAACGATGAAAGATTCTTTTGAAAGACCACATTTTCTTTTTAAAATGGGACACTCAGTTACCAGTCATGAGAAGAATTACTCTGAGATGTGATTTCTTTGACAGAAAACCTAAGCAAGTCTACTGAAAGAAGAATTTGAATTGCATTATGGGAAATGTTGGGTCCAGTGCTTTTGGAGATTGGCCCAGACTAAGGACAAAAAGCAAAGATATATTTCGATCACCCTTTTCTTAATCTGTCTACCAACTTTATAGAATGTAATACTTAATCACTGGTGTAACAGATCACTAGAAAAGGCTCTTTAGATTAAAAAAAAAGGTCAATTTGAGTTGTTACTCTGTGGAAAAGTTGTGCTGATGATGGTCTGAGTCACCTTTCTTCCACATTATTTCCCCTTTTTTACCTTTTACTCAACTATTAGTACAGATACTGGTGTAAAAAAAGACTCCAGTAAAAGTAAAAGTACTGATTTAACTTCTTTACTCAAGTATATGTGAAAAGGTACAGGCTCTGAAATGCTCTTTTGGTTTCATGGTCATTTCTACCATCTGTTCCTTGAAACTTTGAGTGGAGGCTCCCTCTCAGATCTATCATGCATGATAGGGGTCTTGATGTTGGGAAGGCATGCCATGCAAAAAATGTTTTTAAATCAAAGTCAAATGCATTAAAACTAAAGTAATGAGCTGTTCTGAAAATGTAGGTAAAAAAGTACAGATATTAGAAAAAGCTACTTAAGTGCATTAATGAAGTATTTGTACTTTGTCACTTTCCACCTCTCCCTTTTGGATATGAAATAAATGTATGTCTGCCTCGTGCCTATACAGCTCACCTGTGAACCCGCAGGCTTCGGCAAGCAGGAAGGTGCTCCAGGACATGAGGAAGAATAGGGCCGTCTCCAGCAGCGGGAAACAGTGCAACTTGGTGAACTTGGTGACGTGGGAGTTGAGTTAAAGACACAACACTGTTTAGGATATTTGCTAATACCAACTATAACACGCCGACTGTCCTAAGAAACTCAAATCTATCTGGAACCTAGACTTCATGTTTCCATTTCACAGTAGGTGTTAGAGAAAGGATATGAGAGCGGTGACGACTCCTGTGGCTGCACCCATCACAAAGGAACCGCTGAAAATACCCAGGAAAACCCCCACTGACTTGAAAAAGGCAGAGGCATCAAACATGTGTGTGTTTGCTCCACTGGGCTGGTAGGCCACAATAGACCTGAAATGTAATAAAAACATGGTGTGGCACAGATTTTCAGTATTTGTCATAAATTTACCAATTTCATAATCATGTTTTGAATTGATTATAATTGATCTTTGTGTCCATAGTGTTTATTTGATTACATGTCTGGGAAAATGGAATATAATAACTAGTCAGAAAAAAACTCTGTGATTTGTAATCTTCCAGTAGAGGGAGGCAGAGTGCTGTCTGTCTGTCAGGAGAGGAAGTGATGCAAGGCAGTGCTGCTCTGTCTCACACTTCAGTGTTGAATTTCAACATCAGGAGGGAAAGAAATCTCAAAAAGGATGCAGAGACAGAGACCTTTATCTGGTGCAGAAGGAAGGAAAGTGTTTGCAGATTTCTGTTAAGGCAGACATTTGACTTACGATGAAAGCACAATGGCCACTGCGTCATTCATAACACTTTCCCCGAACAGCAGAGCGTAGAGATCCCCGTCTGCATGGAGCTCATTAAAGATGGCCAGCACTGTCACTACACACGGGGAAAAAGATTCAATCAACATCATCAGCCACAAACTGCATCATGTTATTCTGATTGGCCTGTGCATGTGTCCTACCTGGGTCTGTGGCAGAGATAACGGCACCAAAGAAAAGGCAGTCAGTGTAGTAGAACTTGTCAGTCAGCTGTCCGACCACTTGCATCAGTTTGACGACACCGTACATCAGATTTCTGAAGATAGACATCCAGGTGAGAGGAGAACAAAAACATATAACAACAGGTAATCCAAGTACACAACAGCAGGATGTAAAGTTCCTGATTTTAAACCGACGTTTAATGAAAGGAAGGCCAACGCTCACCCAATGACAAAGCATGAGATGGCAGTGCCAAGAAACGCATAGGTTATGATGGAGCCCAGGTTCCTGAAGAAGTGTCTCTGGAAAAGGGAAAAGGAGAATAAGATAAGGAAAGGAAAGGAAAAGAAGAGTAGGGAAACATAAAAACATCCTTTATATAAGTTTATAACAAGTGTGCAAAGTTAGCTTATTGCTGTTCCATTCTCAGGCATTCTCACACTGAACATATATTCATAATATATAACATATATTTCCTATTACAAGACAAATGTCTTTTAACACTGAAGGATTTAAAAAAAAAAGCTTCAGGTCAGGACTAGAAACACAAACACAGATTCAGCTGTTTGACTGGTTGTAAAATAAACAAGCAGCACAACAAAAATGCCTTTTCCGATCCCTTTCATAACCAAACTCCCCCCAACTCTCTCTGCAGTCAGTAAGAAACGAAAATGCTGATGCTGATGCAGATTGCGCCAGGAAATGTGCCTTTTCCTGAGAGACTGTCAGGAGTGATTTTTGTGAAATAAAACATAAAAGAATCAAACAGAAAGGAAAAAGAAATACTGTTGTGTTTATGCTCAGGATATACATGGCATCTTCTTTGGCAGCACAGATCCTTATGCCAACATTTGCACATCACTTACAAACACTGTATGTTTTCATACAGTGATCTGAAGCGGATGATTAACTGAATGGACAAGTTGACGACCAAAGAGAGTCAAACTACAGAGCCACACACTGAATCTTTCTCTGTTTCTCTCTAAAGCTGTTGACATTGTGCTTCAAATGAACTCCCACTGCAACAGATGATGATTTAAAGATTTAAAGAAAAAAGTATTTGAAAAAAACAGACTAACATGACCTCCTGCTTCCTATTTCCTGAGGCCTGATGTTTGAATCAGCAAATTCCATCTTGAAATGTGGCCGAGAGCCAAATTATAGTTTCTCCAGGAAATCACAAATGTCTGTCAATACACACTTTTGCAAAAACTTTAAAATATTAATTAGGGTATGTTGATTTTTGTAAACTAACTGCTAAAACAGTATTTGTAGTAGTACTGTGACAATGTGTGTAGTGCATAATGTAGAATCAGTATGTAGTATGGATTTGGGACACAAACAAGACAAAGGCCTAAAATCTATGGGCTCTATCAGGATGTACTTCTTTGAGCTAAATGCCAACTTTAGCATGCTAGCATGCTCACGATGACATTGCTAATATGCTATTGTTAAAGGACAAGTGTGCAGGATTTTGTGCCATCTAACGGTGAAGTTGCAGGTGCAACTAACTGAACATTGCTCACATCTTTACTTGACAACTTGGGAATGACAACGGACTGTGAAGTGTGTAGGAGAAACTACGGTGCCTGCAAAAAACACCAAAGGCTCTATCAACAGTGTTGGGTGTTGGGTTTTCCGTTCGAGGCGACTGTAGAAACACGGCAGACTCCATGGAAGGCAACCCGCGGCGTCTGGAGATAAAAAAAGGCTCATTCTAAGGCACAAAAACACAAGTCAGGGGATCACCAATGTCATTATCCTCTGGAGAGCATGAATACCTGCAGAAAATATCATCACCCATCCAGTAGTTGCTGAGCTATTTCCATCTGGACCAAAGAGGTAAACCCACAGACTGACACTGCCATCCATAAAGCCACGCTGCTAGCATGGCTCACTACAACCCATGGTCAGATCCTATTTATGCTCTGCATTGTAGCAAAGCACAAGGACATTTCCCCTCATTTATCTGACTTCTCCTTGGTATCATCTATCACTGTAATTGGAAAAGGTGCACCCACGCGATGAGAACATAGATCAGATGTCACCAGTTGTTTAAACACATTTCACTCTCCATTATTTCAAGGTCGGCTCACTGAAGCACAGACAACCCACAATTCTTATGCACAAAAAGCAACAACGGCCGTAGCTGAAGTTCTCAGACCGGTAAATATGGTCATAAATTAATAATTCAAAGCACAGAGCCACCAAAGGATTCCCTAAGTAAAACAAATCTGTTGCTCTACAACAAATAAAAGCAGAAACTACTCATATTGTCAGCGTCAGCCGTTTTCTCACTCTTTCTCCCCGTAAACGCCAGAGAGGAAACGAAAGACATCTGCTCTGGACTTCCCCTGAAAGGACCACTTATTGTCAGCAAAAACAGAATGCTCTCTGTGTGGCCAATGAGAGTTTTTCTTAGCTAACCATCTGTCCAATGAGACAGCAGTTTGTGGCAGCACATACGACCACCTGGCTCACATTACTGTGCATCATACAAATTCAGCTCTTAAAACAGTCACAAATGTAAACCTCACCTTCTTTAGACTGTACCCAGCATGGAAAATAATTGGAGGCAGCAATATGTTGAAGAATACTTCAGGGTCAAATGTCACCTGGAAAAGATGATACATTTAAAAAGGGTTAACGGTGTAAAAATGGCAAATGAAGAATTGATGTTTATTTTTTAACTGTTACCTTGCGCAGCATATCGTTCTGCTCCACATTGTGAATCTCTCTGGAGTTGATCTCCCCTTTTAGGGTGTACTCAAAGAACTTGCCACTGACATTAAGCAGCAGGGTGCTGACAGGTCCTTCCTTCAGCGAGCAGCTCGGGGGTGTCTTGTTGTGGTAGCTGGTGGCAGGGATGCCGTACCGCAGAATCACACCAACCAGCAAACCTGTAGGAATAAGAGGAGAAAAAGATGACAGGAAGACAAACAAGTGCATGTGTAATTAGCAGGTTTAGACATTTGTCATTCATGGGTGTAGCTCTTTCAGTTACTCAGTTAATGAATGTGAGGCAAAGGTCGACTATTATCCAAAAATAAATGGCACCAAAATCAAACTCATCCAGGGAATTGCTCAGTGCTAGATAATGTCCCAGGTGCTTCTGTTTCACGAGCCCCCAGCATCAGACAGTGACACACCGAGAGCAGCGGAGCGAAGGAAGAAAAATGAGGAGATGGTGAGCAGAAGCTTGTGGGGAGAGCTGAAGCCAGGAAGAAAGGAATGAGGCAGGCAGTTAGAGAACATAAATCCTCTGATCAGACAGCAGTTATCTGCAGGAGACATGGCAAAGCAATGCTGCCAGCACTGCGCTCACTCATAGCAGACGGTTAACCTGGTACATCACACTCTGGCTTTGGCCTAACCACACACACACGCACATGCACACAGTGGCAGTTTCGCAACAGGGTTGTTACCTTTGAATAATCACTGAGAATTAAACCGCCTGTTTCTTGCAAAATATACTCAAATGACAGTTGAGTTTTGGCTTGAGTTGGTAAATGTAAGGTTATTTCCAGCTAAAGGGAAGTTCCATGTTTCAGATTAGGGAGTAACATAAAAGGAAAAAACAGCATTTGATAAGATGTCAGCCCTGCAATGCATCATGTTCTTTCTTTAAATGGACACCAACAACTTCTGACAACATATTCCGAATCATTGATTTGTCTTGATTGCCGTGCCACAGTGAGCAAGTGAACATACCAACTAAAAACACCAGGTTTTTTGTAGAGTCTGCTCTTTATACAGCAAATCAATACTCTGACAAGGTTTACGCTTGGTAGCACTTTTATCCTTGTGACAGTCCAAAAAAAACAAACAGTGTGATCTAACGTCATTACATCTTATCAAACTGAATCCACCAAAATAATGTTTGTAAAAGCGTGGGTTTCTGACAGCTTGACAGAGATAATGATATTAGTTCAAGATACTAATCCCACATGTTTATTATGCATGTATCACATTAGGTATGTGCACATATAATCCATTGTGTTCATTATCCGTTCCCACCTCTGCAAATAGTAAATCTGAGGTATAATATTACCGTCAGTTTGTGTTTTTGACCCACTACAAGGACAGGGCCCATATTTGTGAAGCTGAAAATTGAAACTACAAAGACAGCCAAAGCACGGTTTACTTTTCCAGCATTTAAAACGAATCAAAGTCTGTCTTTTTCATATGAGAACTCGGGTTAATCAGTAACATTTGTAGCACTGACTAACTGGAATCATTCTGATAAGCTATTAAGAAAAAAAAACATACAGATGTTGTGGCCAGCTGTGCTCTAAGACATTAACACTGAAATACATTACACACACACATTGTGGCAGTGGTCACGTTATTTATTTATCTATATCATATAGTCAGATGATAAAGAAATAACTGAAATCTAGTTTCTTCTCTCAAATGTATCTGTCACTGTGCTGCTGGGAGAGCAGACTGATCCCTGTTGATTCCCCAACTGAGCATTCGCAGTTAGGCTATGAAGCATTTTCTATCATGTATCCCATCCTTTCTTCTTTGAAAGCTTGAAAGATGCTAGATAGTATCTTGGGAGATAAATCAATACATTATACATCAAGGTCAATGTAATCTGATTTATTACACCACAGACATTGTATAAGTGCCCTCGGATATGTCAGGGTGCTGATTCGCAGTCAGTCAGGGATGAAGCTGCATAACAGCAGCCTAGTGGAGAGTTTAAGACAAGGCTGAGCAGCAGACAGCACCTTCTAGAAATTAGCCCTGGCCCAGCCAATTAGGAGCAATGTGAGCTGGTGGAAATGCAGAGGCGCGTCAGTGCATTTGTTCAGCCTTAAACCAGATCTGTATCTTCATCTTTATCTTCCCCATCGCCTCTGAGCAGCCGCTGCACAACCACCAGAGAGACTGAATCACGCAAAGCCTGCGGGGAGGTGGTGGTAGTGAAGGAGTGTGTGTGTGTGTGTGTGTGTGTGTGTTTGTACATTGAACATATAATCCTATAAGCCTCACCGTAAATCATTGCCAGTCCGGTTTCGTGAAGGAAGCGGACCCGTCTGTGCTTGAAGAGCCATATGGTGAGAATCGTTAAGGTCAGCAGTAAAATGAATGTCAGCAAATTAACACTGTCCTGTCGGTGACTTTCCTCAGCCTCCTTCTCGGTGGTAAGTTCTTCCATACCGTCGTCCTCCGCCTTCAGTCCCGACACCGCGGTCAGTAATATCCACACAGGCAGCATCGTGTCCAGCGCCGCGAACACTGCGCTCCGCTTCGGCCGTCGGAGAGCGTCCATGGTGCAGGATGCTGCTGCTGCTGCTGCTCACCGCACACCGCCTCTATGCCATGTCACTGCTGGAAGCTACGCACAGCTGAGCCGAGTGGGAAAACAATCCAGTGTTCGTAGACCGGCGAGTTCAACCTTTTAAAGGTACACTGCGCGATGAGAAAAAGGGCGACGAAGCCGCTCCGGAGTGAGACTGCGCTGCCCTTGTGGAGGAGACCAGATCACACCGTGGCCCGCAGGCAGCCTCAAAGTCGGCTGATTCCAAGCTGTACTGAGTCACTGTGCTGGGATTGTGATGAACACGCAGTTCGGTGCTTCATCAAAACAGGAAATTCACATGGCCTCGGCTTGGATGTTGAAAGTCAGCCTGTTACATGGAGAGTAGAAGCAAATATCCGCTCTGGTTAAGGTGGCCTTTGTAGTGGTAGTGGAGGGGTGGGAGGTGGGATGATACCAGAGAGCCACAGCTGGAGGGGGGGCCAAAAGGGAACTAGAGCAATATCTTTTAGGAGGGGCCATTTCTGTGGCCCCTAAGACTTTAAAGCTGCACTAGTCAGTATTTTCATATTAACAATGGATCAAAAGATCATGTGTAATGCTTGAAGTGATGAACCCACAGACAATTATCATCTGACTCTGCAGTTCCTGTAGTTATATGAAGCGTTTTAGCTTCTTTCAGCTCTTACTTTTGGTTTAATGGCTGCAACTTTACAGGTTTCTTTCACACTGGCCACCCTCACCAAACTCTTACCCAAACACAGGCAGCTGTTTACCAGGGTTAGTTAATCTACCAGCTTGGCACTAAACAGCAGACAAAGTTAGCAACTTGCCAGGGTACCTAGTGGAGGATTTGGCAACCAGAGGGGTCAGATATTTCCCTCACGGGTTGGTGGAGACCAAAAACATATTTCTCATGAGCCACTCTATAAATCAAATCAAATCAAATCA